ATTTGGACAATATTTGATAACAAGAAATATTAACTCCCATGTAGCTAATAGAAGTATTACTCACTAAATAACTGAACCCCTGCAGTAACATCCATTAAGAACTCATGAAACCATCGGCATAGTGAAGATAGAGCCTTTCTTCATAAGAGCAAGGTGCCGTCTTAGAATATGCTCATTAGTTAAAGAGAATCTGAATGAAATGTCTGATCGAGGTGTGGATCATTGACCCAGAAGCTGATGTCCAATACTTCTTTCACGCATATTTGGTCACTTACAAATCTCTAGAAGAAATATTAAATAATGTAATTATATGTTTATTACAATAAATACTATTACGTTCGCTTTGTTGTATAGAGTATTCTCTAATTGTATAGAAATGTAGTTAGAACCGTAGCAGAAAAGGCACATATAAATTTGTGAATATTTTTTAATTGTTTAATGTCTTCTGGCAATGTCTTATAAGATAACCTACATGACTTGAATGTGGATGTGTTCGTGGATTATCATTCTACTAGTACTACTAACTAGTGTGACGTCATGGGTACTCACAGCGACCACAGACACAGAGCTTTCGTATAACAATATATTTATTAACAAAGAAAACAAAACAAATATATACACTTAATATCTTACTTACACCCTAGCTCTGATAGACCTACTATCCCCTGATCGCGGGAGCGATCCAAACCCGATTGAAGATGGTTTTGATTGTGGCATTCGCCACTCCTACTTTTGAAGCGCGCACAAAGCCTAGCTTCCGTGACCGAATGTCACGCTGGGACACAAAGTCCGTTCTGGCGCACCAACGGCTGGTTTGCCTCGATCGCAGGAGCGATCTTATCCGATTGAGAATCGGCGTGAATCGTGGCACTCAACCACTCTTCACCTCGGAGCACGCACACAGCATCGCTCCCCCGTGACCGCAGTCACCCAAGGACATAAAGTCCGCAGGCTTCGTCAACTAGTGACTCCAGCCTCGCGAGCCTGGCTCGCATATGCACCGTCGTGGCGCCAAGTTTTGTGCACACGCACGAGGTTCTCCCGCTGTCTCCAGAACCCACCCACTGGCTCTGTCCACTCAGTTATATAGGCGAGGCCCACGTGACCTACTACGTCACGCCACCCCCTCGCTTGTTATAACAGAGAAAAGCTTCTATAAGCCGGAAACTCCCAAAGCCTTGTGTCTCCCGTTTCCGCGTTCTTCCCTTTACGGAAAAACCCTACTTCCTGTGGCTAGTCTAATCCTTTTCCAAGCGTCCCCAAATAGATGCCATGAGGCACGCTGGCTAATACGTTACACTAGAAATATTTTAGTTTGAAACTAAATTAGGTGCCAAAATTTAAAATGTTAAGTTTCAAAAATTTTCTTAATAAATTCCCCAAGTATGTTTGTAATTACTGCTACGAAAATTAATTATGTGTTATGCCATCAATCACAAATTGTCATGCCTTGTGTTTTTTTTCTTGTTTTTATATGTACCATAATACTAGGGAACAAAATATATACCTCCAGGAAAAGAGAGTGCGCAACAAATTCAATTTTATACGTAGCTTACTAATATCACAAGTAAAAAGTCATATCACGTCACGGTTTTTAAATATACCGTATTACACCGTATTTTGCAATTATTGCAAATACTCGTACATTTAAATTGCACCTATAAGATATGTAGAATCAATATGCATAAAATCTATTTAAGAATTAAATATTTTTTCAGTTCATGAACGCCACCATCATGAGATATCAAGAAAATCAAGTTTTTTTACCATGTATATTTGAAGATTGCCGTTTTTTTCTCGTGTCTCGTAGTCGCGCTCAACTACGAGAGGTCTTACTGGATGTTTTAAAGACAAGTCACGTTCACCCTCATATTTCCTACTGCACAGCAGATCTAAAGAAATTATTTTCGCCCCTTACCTCATCACAAGTGTCATTTCACAAATTCATTTTGATCACTACCATCTAAATTTTTTCCAATTTGGTTGATATTAGTGATACACTTGGTGAACAGTTTCATCAAGATATTGTTATCATGGAGAAGAGAGGTACCAAGGGCGTATGCATCCAGCAATTATGGGAGATTACTGCTGGTTTGTTGTCAGAGAGAGTAAACAGGAATACATGAGTAAGTGACAAGGTCCAATGCATTTTTAACCAATTCAAAACGAATTTCTCCTTCCAAGATGTTTCAATATTATTGCACGAATACGTATATTCCATTTTTATCGTGTTTTTGCCTCGTATGAAACATGCTCATTAAATTTTGTATTTATATAACCGGAGTGAGAATACGGAAATTAGTATAGGATTTTGTCTCTTTCAAAAATTAAATATGTTCTTATCTTTTGAACCCCGCGTCATATAAACTTTTTATATTGATTTTTGAAATCAGCGTGATTGTCTTCTTTGAAATCACTTACATTCTATAGGTATTCCATTCTAGAGGTATGATTTTTTTTTGTTTCCTAGTGTAACTATTCGGAAAACGTGAGTTTACGGAATCATTCCTTCGATAGTTTTGTACTTAAGATAGGAAGCCTCAATCTTCAGTTAGAAGAAGCAGGTTGGATGTATTATTCTGTATTTATTTTGATAAGAGATCGTCTGCAACGTGGTAACATTATTCCGTCGGGGGTTGGCCCCCCTGCGGCCCGGCCGCTCCCCCGCCTCTGGCAGTCCCCTGGCCAGACTCCCCGCCGGAGGAAGAATAAAGAGGGAAATCAGTTGTCGGCAGGAATTCATATTCAACAGGAGCACCTAAGCTTCTTTATTTTCCTCTCTTTTTTTTTGTTTCGTCTCATACAATCGCACTCTCCTGCCAAGTACATTAATATTTTTATTGCACATGTTCGTGGCACGCAATTGTGCTGGTTAATGGGCTGAGAAGGGACCGTCGCGCTCATTATTTCGGGGGAGTGGAGCGCGGGTTACGGCCACGCGTCCCGCTGAGGCCCCAGGGTGGGGCCGTGGATGGGGCAGCCGAAGACCGGGACCGAAGGCGTGCATAGAGCGGTTGAGAGGGGAAGGGGGTTCAGAGGACATAAAGGGTGAAGCGGTGAAGTGCCGTGGAGAGCAGCGGAGGTGGGTGTGCAAGAAAACGGTGATCGCCGGACGTGTGTAAAGAGATTGACGTGAGGCAGGTTTTGATGGTCAACCGTTGAAGTTGTAGTATTCGCGCAATAATATTGAAACATCTTGTAAGGAGAAATGCATATTGAATTGCTAAAAAATGCATTGGAGCTTGTCACTACCTCATGTATTCCTGTTTACTCTCTCTGGCAACAAACCAGCAATAATCTCTTATAATTGCTTTATCCTTACGCCCTTGGTATTTCTTCTCCATGATAACAATATCTTGATGATATTGTTCACCAAGTGTATCACTAATATCAGCCAAATTTATAGGGTATTTACTCTCAGGTTGTCATTAGTAAGGGGTGGATCTAGAATATGTTTTGGGAGAGGAGCTCATTTCATTTCGGACCTCCTCCCCCTCACAATGAATTCTTTGAAGGAAAATTAAATTTTGTAAGAAGTTAATTTCTTCTTGAAACGTGCGTAGTGGCTTAAGAGGAGTGCTTCTTTGAAAAACGATGCAATCAAAATTATGTAAAGTGATGTAATTGTTCTAAAAAGTGAGTAAATTTACAAAACAAAATTTAGTTTGAGGGGAAGGCGACTTGGTCTCAATGCATCTGCAACTCTTGTTGGCCTGTTGTTTCACGGTCAGCGGTAACAGATATGTCGTGAGTATGTCACTGTAGATCAAACACTGTCTTGTCCTATGGCTCGGCAACCTGCTAAGGGCCTTGGCCGACCAGCGGTGACCCAGCCTCTCAGCCATAAGATAAGCGGTTCGTGAGATGAGCACGAAGACATTCCTTCACCTTATATTCTGGTCTTCATAACCTTAGGATGGGCTTTTTTATTTTGCTCCAGCCGAGAATCAAACTCGAGGTTGCGCCGTGGAAAGAGAGCACGCTAACCATCGAGCCACCAAAAACGTAGATCGAACACTGAAAGTCAGAATTAAGTTTCTTTACGAACACATTTAAGGCAAAATATAACTTTAATTTTTACGGACATAGTATTATCACATATTGAATCGACAAATATTCTGTAGAATTTCTCTTTAAATTACACAATTTTTTCCTTTGGATAAAAATTTCTCCATATTTTTTTACCTAAAATATGCCCATGAGGTTATATATGTGTACGAAATACAAATAGAAACAGGTGAAGGAAATGGACATAAATATAGTTTGATGCAACATTGTCGATAAGTACTGTGGTATGTTCCGATATATAGTGATACGTAAAGGACATTTTATGATAGATAATAGACCTTTACTTTTTTAAGATAATTTTCGAAAATGTTGATTAACATTGTGAAGGGATAGCGGATTGATCACGAGCTTCCTTGCTAGTGAATAGTATGGAGATTTCCATAACAGAGAGGTTAAAACCTACATTACAACGATGTCATCCAAAATTGCATTTCTTTTGATTACAATTCATTGATAATGTGTGAATATACAATGTTTGATAGCTTCTAGTATTCTGTGTGTGTGTTCGAGGAAAAATGTTTTTCCCGACTGCCATTTAATTAGGAAAGTTTTGATTTGAGACTACGGCCATAGTCACTACATTAATGTTCCTCCACCTACCATGTCATATTACAGGAAACATTTTTAAGGAAACGAACCGGTAGTTAATTGTAGCTACCCGATGCACTGACAAGACGAGGCTAGTGGAAATAACAGCCGGGAAAACCCAGTCTGAAGAGTCAGCTCAGAAAAGAAGTCTGTACTCGCCAATTTCCGGTTGTCCAAAAACATTTCAGCAATCCGTACTGAGGAAGGGTATAATTTAAAAGCCAACCGAGACTCATGACGTAATTGTGTATGGAAATGATTTCCGGTGGGAGATCCGTTGCATCCTGTTAGTGACTGAACAGCACTGTGCCAGATTTTGAGTGACGCGTTCTCTGATGTTTCAGCTCCGAGTAGTGGTGCTCCCCTGTGTCATCAGCGCACCGTCACAAAAGGGCTACGTCATTCGCCGACTCACCGCTCGCGCACGGTTCGCCTCCGCTTCACTTGCCTTCCAGCTCCAGTTTTCTGGAAAGCCAAGAGCTTGGAACTTGCGGTGAGTGTAAATGAAGTCGGAGCTTCTCAAATGTTTTACAGCTTATATCCGTCACGCAGCTAAAAGTTTGCTCTACTGCCACGGTGGAACTTACTTAAATGGCGGCGTTTAATTACAGTGAAAACTCTTGATGACGAAACTCAAGAGACCCTGAACTTTCTTTCGTTATAGATACTTTTCGTTACATGGAAAGTGTGCACCAGTGTAGGAGAATTTAGGTAGTAACTCATAATGCATGAACCAAACTCAAGTAATATCAAATGACATTATAGAAAGTTTGTCAGTAAGACGTTCGTTAATATTACATTATTGCATAGATAACTCATAGTGACCTTAAACGAATTTTTATTAAATTTCTTTTTCAATTTTCTTTTCAATTGGCATAAAATGAGTTGAAGGCGAAGGAACTGTTTAATTTAGTCGTTCGTAATTAGTCAAATCTTCTCGTGGATTTGACAACGTTTCCTCGTAGAAACCTATCATATGCCTCAGGGTGTACGCATGCAATATTTTAAGGATCTATACTTTTACAGCTTTCTCTTGGATAATACTGTAGTGCTAAATAACATGTATCACCTAAAGAAAATATTTTCCTAATCCAACCTGCTCTCACAAATTTTAAACAAATATTGCCAGAGTTGGTAATCATATACTTTATGTGGGTTATACGATGTTTCTGATTCCATTACTTTCATTACTCGCTCGATGTTGTAAATCAAATTGTGTATTTTCAGGATTATACCGTGAGAAAGATTAGAGCTGTGAGAAAGGTGATGCGGTTTTTTTTATCACTACTGTAGTATAAGGAATCTCAATGATGTCTGACTTAAAAATATATTTTCACGCTGAATGACGGCAGTTGTTAATTATTGAACATATTCTTTTATACTTGCGTAATAAATAATTACACTACGTAGTTTTCAGAGTATTAACTTTTTAGTTAAGTGGTTCATCTTCAGTTTTTCCTATGGAAGTTGTTCACGTGCCCCTTCAAGCTTTGTATTCTTGGGGATTTGTGAATCACTGTTTGAAAACCCCTTCTTTAAAACTATTTACGACACAGTGAGAAACAAAGTGCAAATGCTTCTTTGTTCTTGAAGGGTCACAGCAGAATGATTTTTGCCGATTTTTGAAATAATTTCAAAATCTATATTTATATCTTAATTCTTAACTTATCTCGGGCGCTGTCTTATGATTCTTTGTCCTGATGGTGGAACTATGGGGTAATTAACTCTTTTCCGATAGATTTTCCATCTACTTATTACACAGTATTTCACGGCGCTTCTTGCCCATTCTTACATATCTTGGTTTTGTGTACCATACTAAGTCTAACAAGTCAGAGATTTGCCCATTGATATCTTGATCAACAATATTTGTAATTTAGAGTACCCCCTTGCAAACATGCATATATATTTTGCACTCTAAATCATTCTTTATACTTATAAAAAGCCCCAATCCGCATTCGAAGTAATTTACCCCCTCTTATATATTCCTCTCATTACCCTATACAATTACAATAATAATTTAGGGTCGTTTGGAATCTAGATACATAGTAGTCGACATGCTTATAAAGTATTAATTTTGAGTAATTCAGAAGTGAGAAATCAGTTATAAAGTATCGTTGATCTTTGATGTAACGAAATTTTCATATCAAATCCAATTAATTGTTGTATTTGTACTTGTTGTTGAAACATGCCAGAGGTTCACAAAGTTGTGCATTTATTAATTTTATTTACTTCAAAAACAGTTAAAAACTGTGTGTGACGTGCTACGAGGAGAAATTAACTCGACGTTACATTTATGTCCAGAAGTAGAACAAGGGGTCATCTCAGTATTAGCTCAAGGGTCTGGGAAACTGGACGAAAACCTGATCGAGGTGGGGGTCATTGACCCAGAAGCTGAAGTACAATACTTGTTACAGGTGCTTTAGAGTTATACAATACAAATAGTAAATAATACACTAAATGTTGTTTTTAAAATTGTATTACTTTCCTTTGGGGCGCTCGGTACAGTCTCTAATTGGGTAGGAACAGTTGTGCAGCAGAAAATATTTTACTTTGGACTTAATATTTTGGATCGAATTTAATCGTCTAATGTCATCTGGCAGGGTGTTGTAAAACATATGTGAATTTTTTTGTGGTGAGCTCTTGATATTGTCGCCTGATGAATATGATAACAATGTCGAGTGTTGTATAGACATTGACATCAGCGTTTGCTGCAAATCTATTCCCGCCCTTAAGAAAGTGCAATACCCAATTCACCCTCACCAAGGTACCTCTGCCAAGGGAACCTTAGTCAAGGTTCAGTGACATGGTATAACCGTGGCATAAAATGCTGAGAACTTCAGGTGTTTTTAAAACTCAGCGGCGACTGGTATCGGCAATGGCTGGTATCGACGGCAGCGGCGACTGGTGGCGGCGTCGGGTCGGGGGCGATTGGTAGTGGCAATATTTTATAGTATTGTATAATATTAATATTGTGTATAATATTAATATTGTGTACAATATATAATATTGTGTACAATATATAATATTGTGTACAATATATAATATTGTGT